AGTATTCGCGATAAGAGAAATAAACAACATTACGAAATTTAAAAAAAAGCTTTGCTTCTTAACAGATAATTATCACAAAATATCACTAATTTCTGCTGGAAATAGGAAAGCAAACGATGCATCGATGGTTTTGAAACATCGATAAAATCGGTTAAATTTTCGATGTTTGCCATCGGTGTTTACAATTTAAGGTCTGTGCCAATCAGTAGAAAAATTCTATGGTGAAAAAAACTTTTTACTATGGTGAGAAAAAATTACATTTCTGCTGCCAATTCGTAACTTTTTACTGCTGGAAATTTTTGACAGTTGCTTTCATGCAGAAGAAGGCTATCGGGTTAGCAATCAATAGAATGCAGCAATTATGGAGAAAATATTTGCCTTTGCTGATTTCAGTTTTTCTGGTACTGAAATCCATGTATTTATTATACCTTTTAGCAATAACCACTGATTTTTCTTTAATATCAACTCGCTTTGGTGTTCTTTAACTTATGTGTACGCCTGCGTTGTCCTGTGTTCTTAATGGTAGCAAAATTGTAAACAAAAGATGTAAGAAATGTCAACGAAAACATCAACAGTCGGTGTGTTTTCGTTGTCCGTCGGAACATTGTATTACTTCGACCAGCCAATTGAAATAAATCCGAAATAGCGTATTAAAGATGAGAAAATATGACTTCCACTTCGATAAATAATCGAAAAAAACTAGTGAAGACACCGATTGGAATGCGTGGAACGTGAGTTTTAAGCGAAAACTGGTTTTCGTTTGACAGATTTTACATGGACGAAAACACAAGTTTTAGGTCAAAACCAGTTTTAGCAACGAAAACATGTTTTCGATGTCGGACAGAACATGGTATTAAGCTGAAGGCACATAATTTTATTTGCTGCGGCGGAGCGTTGATCCGTTGGTGCGTTGGCGACGTTGAAAAATTTGCTATTACACACCTTGCGTTGTACCCCTCATTGTTTTGTAAAAAAAAACAGCTTATAAGCAAATCCACAAAAGGAATTTCAAAGGCCAACGCTTCAACGCAACAGAAAAGTAGTGAGTTGGTTTATTTTCAACGGCAACTGCGTATACGCATTCGTAACGGCGTCGTCTGTAACGGCTGTCAAACAAACGTACGTGTTCAATTTTATTTGACATTGGCGGCGTGACGCATTTGCCGGCGAACGCATGTTGTGTACCTTCGCTTTTAATTTAGTGCTTTTGTCAATAAAAGTGCCAATTTTTCCATCACTGGTTCAATCGAAAAATATCGAGTATGTATTTGTATTTACTCATATCGTTTCATCCCTACGTAAACAAGTAGAATAGTGATTTGCTGAGTCGATACTTTGAAGTATTGATCGATACTCGCTACCGATTTAAAAAGTATCCAATACTTTCGACACTCGGTACCGAAACGTTTAGGCTTCCAATTAGAACGCATATAGACCAAAAATAAAAGCCATTTAGGGGAGCCTAGCCTATCAAAAGAAAGTTTAGGAGCTAACAGAGGTTTAAATTTCCATTTTTCATCGCCACAATGTAGAGAAACTCTTCCTTATTTGAAACATTGTTTTCTGCATGAATCTGACGATGTTATCTTTGTAGATTGAAAGAATTCTTTTATCCGTCAAAGCATTTTTCTTAAATTTTTAGATGTACCAAGGTGGGAACCGATAAAACGGTAGTTTACTGTTGTGACAATATCAAGAAGGCGATGAGAGTGTTTTGATATGTGGTTTCCGCATTGGTTAGTACAAGTTGTTCAACTTTTGGGAAGGCATCGTCTTACACGTACTAATTGTGAAACTATTCATAGTCGAAATAAAGTCAATGCCACTGTTTTGATAGATATTATGTTAAAAATTATGTCAAAAAGCTGCAATTATGTACAGAATCGGTATTGTATACCGAAAAAGTAGTATTGGATACCGAAATATTTCTGAAGTATTGGGTACCAAGTATTGGGTTCCGGCAATTCAGTACATCACTCAACTAGAAGAGTATCACAATTGTTTTGCGCGAAGCGTTTATTGGATTTTTTCCCCACATTTAATATTTACAGTAACTAAATAATCGTTTGCACTTCCTAAAGATACGGAGTAAACTTTGACTTGAAAGATTGTATTACTTCTGTATGGATTCACCATTGCAAGGGTCTGAAGACACATTCAAAAGTGGTGGGAAAGATTTTTTGTTTACCTAACTAAATGTTTATTTTTCAATATTTACCTCCTTCATAGAAAATCAAATCCATATTTTGCTGTCCGCTGCAGATATAATGAATAAAAATGAGGACGAAGAGGAAGATTTAGAAGTTGGAAATATTTTGGAAAGTTCAAAATGCAGGCAGTGCATGCATTGCCAGGAAGGTATTGCAGCTATAACAAACACGATACGTAACACTATGATTGAAATTAACGAAATAAAGGAGCGCAATCGTGAACGACGCCATCAGGACATTTTAGAAGCATTTAAAAATTATTTGTGCCAAATAAATGCTCCTAGGGATTTAAAAAATACTCATATTTTAAATCCGGATTCATCTGTTAATCAATTAAATAATACATCCAAAACCCATACAATTCCACTGCCTCAGCTTAGTAATGAAGTGTACCCTGTTAAAGAAACGAAGCGGCAACTACCTGTGTGTACTCAAAAACATCAGCATAATACTATAGAAAGACCGAGTACAGAAGCACCGCCGAAAAAATCTATTAAAACAATGAATCTGAAAATCGAGACGCTATCTCACAGTGCTGATG